CAAGGTCACCCCACACACACACATTCCTTTGGCCGTCCTGGCTTATCTCTCAGGAGGCCGGAGCTTCTTAGCTCCTCTCTGTAGTGCATACTGCACTCCAAGACTCTTCAAGTGAGTCCAATCATCCTCCTCTCTCTCAGAGGAGTCTCCAAGGGAGTTTGGGGGGTTTTGGTTATTCAGTTCTTACCCCCCGAAACTCTGTTCCTGCTGCTGGCTCGGTTCTCTTTCTGGTGCTGCTTTTCCTTTTCCTCAAACAACTCTGTGTCTGCTTCAGTTGCATGCTGGCTTCTGCTGTTTCTTATCTCTTGGCTCACTGCCACTGTCTCTCCGTCCACTGCTGCTCCTACGCCGCTTCTCCCAGCGTCTCCCACTGCTGCCTACAGGGGAGAAACTCCCCCAGCTTCTCAGCCACAGGCACTTAGTTCAGTTCAACACCATTCCAAGTCCACATAGCCCCCCAGCCGGGGGCTGGGGGGGGCAAAGGCCCCCAAGGGGCCGGAGCCCCTTCCTCGTGGCCTCTACAACATGGCCACCACTTCTTCAACCAACAAGTACCACTCCCTCTTTTCCGGTCCAGAGAGATATGTTTATATTTTGCAGGAGCACTGATTGGGTCAAACCCCAAGGGTCACCACCCCCTGGGGGTTACCACTTTTCTAGTTTCAGGGGGAAAACCTGGCTCAAACCACTACAGCAGAATGTGGTGCTTGGAGTCCAGGGAGAGACATACAGCATTGCTGCCTCAGTACTTACGGCTGAATGCGCACTGCAGAAGCTCTTCTGATGCTGAGACACTCAGACTGCTCAGGTCAGGGATTTGTGTCCCTGTATGCTCTGTCTGTGCACGTGTGTGTCTGTGCACATGGGGAAGAACAAGTCTGCAGCTATTCTGCAGAGCCAGTGGAGCTGACTTAAGGTGATGGTTTGGGACACGCGTATGGATGGGCCTTTCAGAAAGCATTTGTGAGGACTGAGATGATGCCTTGGCTGTGTGGGTCTCTCTCAGGCACTCACAGTTCTGTGGTGCCTTGATTTTTGTTTCAGGGAAGGCAGTTGCTATATTTATGGCAGAAATTTGTGGTCACTGGGGATTTGTTCCCATGAGCAAAGGCTCAATTAACAATTGGCTTCCTCTACAGAACTATGACTTACTGCTTTCCTGGTCCCTAGTGTTTACTTCAGGTTTTTCAATGCACTGGAATTGATATTTGCCTTGTCTAACTTTATGCTTCCTCAGAGACCTGTTAGCCTCCATCTGTAACTCTGCTGGTTAATGGAGTGAAGCAGGCACTAAATAATGTGAGACCTTCCCCCTCCTACACCTCTTCATTATCTCTGTCTGGGGCCCATGGCCTCACATACCTGCTATAGTTGACAAGATGAGCTCCCCTTTTCCACCACAAATCCAGCAAGCTGAATAAGGCATGATCCACTTGTCTCACATCGATACACTACCTGTTCCCCAAATCCAGCTACCCATAGACTAAGCTTAGGCAAACGCTTAATCTCGTTTAGTTGGAAATGGGCCTTTTGCCAGTTGCCTTGGAGTTGGGGATCAGCAGGGCTTTTCCCTGTTTAGCAGACACAGTCTTGGAATAGTGTTTTCCTTCTTGTTTGGTATCTCTAAAATAGGATGGTGTGGTGTTCATTGAAAAAAGAGGCTCTGGATACACTGCCTGTGAGATTATATTGTAAACTGATAAGCGTACTAACCTACAGCAAATACCAGCCCTATTAAAGAAGGATTATACAGAGGTGAGGAATTAAAAACTTAGCAAATATTTGCCTAATATTTTACAGGAGGTGTATTTTCATTACTGAACAACTGACTCAGCAAATTGCATCCAGGCAAGCAGAGTACAGCCAATAAATACACCACCAGAGGAGGAAAAAGGGTGCTTTGGTGACTCCTGTATCCTGCAATGCCTGTTCAAAACCTCTATTGCAGACAACAGGAGCATAAGACAAGCATCTTCCCCATACCCTTCAGATACATCCTGTGAATTATCAAGTCAACAGTATTCAAAACAATTTCTGTTAAAAAATAGAGAAAGAAATGGTGTCTGACATAAGTTTGACACTCATGGTACTTAAACATGATGATTGTGACAATTTTGCCTGTGCTTTCATTTGAATGCAATGAACAGCCCCTTGAACAGCTTTAACTGCAAATAGCACAGTGGCAACACCCTTTCCTGGGAAAAAGGGAGAAGGCAGCAAGAAGACCATAAAGGAAATGTTTCCTAGGAGTCTGGCATGAATTTTGCTCAGAACAGTCTGCTGAAGTAGGTAGGTCAGGCAGAGGTTTGGTGGTGCCACTGATTTGTTTCTGCTGCAGGCTGCGACTTCACATGAGCTGTTTGGGCTGATTTTACTCCAGATTCCTAACATCTTTGTATTTATCTTACATGTTTAAAGCCCATGCCAGAGTTTTGCATTTTAAAGACATCTCCAAATTGCCATTTACAGCTGATGCCCTACTGCATTTCTGTATTTTACTGCAAGGAGAAGTCTTTGGCAGTGTCAGGGAGTCCCTGATGGAACAGAAGCCATAAGAGGCTGCAGTGAAGGCTCTTTGTCCATACATTTCAGAGTAAGCCATCAGGCTCGTTGTGTACCCTGAGACATTAGTTAATCAGTTGGTGTGGTGTAGGGGCCACCTGTGTATTGCCCTCCTACTGATGCTGCAACAGCCCTATTACTGTTGTAGTTATAATATATTAGACCTAATTCATTTTCCCTGGTTGCTACCTGCTTCTCCTTAGATCAAGCACTAATGAGCAGTTGACTGTAGTTAATGAGCTTCTGCAGCAAGTAATTCAATTTCTTCATTGACTAAAATTACTTTTTTCTTCTGGGCACCATGCTCTATCTCCCTGGGATGTTTGGCTCCCCAGTGTGTCAGGGAAGATCCATCTCCATCAGCAAGAGATTGCAGCAGTGGGTGCTGTACAGTCCTCCTCCACCGAGCAGGGCAGCTGTGCTTTTGTCCACAGCTTTCCACACTGGTCTATAGATTAGTTCAGCTGCGTCTCTTTTACTGGTGACATGTCCAGCCAACCAAGCCAAGCAGTTCATTCTCTGCAGCCGTGGTGTCACCTTCCTTGCAGCAATTTGCTTTGTAATGGTGCTTTTGGTGAGTCCTGCTCTGGTAGGGCTATTATGGTAGTTCTTCCTGTGTTGTCTGAGATCATAGAATCATGGAATGGTTTGGGTTGGAAGGGACCTTAAATATCATCCAGTCTCAACCTCCTGCCATGGGCAGGGACACCTTCCACTAGACCAGGTTGCTCAGAGCCCTGTCTAACCTGGCCTTGAATACTTCCAGAAATGGGATTTTTGATAATAAAGATTGTTGTATGGGTTGCTGGTGGGGAAGAGGATCTGCTATGTGCTCAGATATTTAAGAACTGTATTACCATTTTCCTACTCTCTCACAGGTGCTTTAGGAACCCTGGTGTCATTGCCTTGCTTTGTGCCACCTGTAAAGTGCTACAATTATAGTGAAATGAATAACTTGCTTATGCCAGATAAACACCTAAATTCTTCTGAAAATATCTGTGAAATGACTTCCTTAAGATGGATTAGGCACTTGGAGGTATCTGTACATAGAAGTACTGCTCACCTACCTTGTAGCTCTGGTCCCAGATAATTCTGCAATCTGGGACATAGTGTATTTCAAGCTGTGGGTTGTGATTGGACAACTGAGTCCAGATAATGGGTTGGCTGTGTGAAGGGACCATTAAAAGGCAGTGGGACAAATGAGAGAAGGTGACCATTCAGGACATGCTCCATGCCTAGCCAAGGTAACAGGCTGGAAAGGTTTGCCACCACTGCCTGAATTGATCGTCACAGCATGTTTAGCTTTCTGCAGTTTTAAGTATTTCCTGTCTCCAATGCACTTTATAAAGATCATTTTCTAAGTTTCTCTTGCTTTTGCAGAATATAGTCTGGAGAACTGGCCTAGAGAGAGAATGAAGAAGAAAGTACTTTAATAAGAGATCCTGCTCTGTAATGATGAGTCCACCTACAGACTGCTTTTTAAGTGCTGCCCAGGAAATCAACTTTATGTAGTTGCTAAGGTTGCTTGACCAGTAACTTATTGATATGAAAAATCTCTCAGTAAACAGACTGACATCTCAAAAATAATTTTCTAACTTTTTTTTTCCCTAAGTTGTGCTCATCTGCATTTCAATGTCAACTGTTTGGATTCTCTCCCTCTTCTGAATCTATTGGAGAAATCTAAAGCATCACAATGAATGTTTAGATGATTAACCATCCTTGTGATTATGCAGCTAAAAATCTTGTGGACAGAGTTTTTCTCCCTGTAGTGTCAGTTTTGGCTCCCAGAGCCATATGGAGGCTCTGTGGTCCTCTGCAGACTGAACATAGCACCGTCTGTGTGTCAAAAGCAGTGTCCCTGTCATGTTCCTGTCTCTGCTGGGGACTGACAATGTTCACATGGCCTCTCTGGAGCCCACAAGCCATCTGCAAAGACATTCCTGGAATTGTAAAAGCCCAAGGTTCTCGAGCTGTTGGGATCCCGTAGCACAACTGAGTTTACGCTCCACTAAGCTGCTCACAAGGATGTAATTATTATAGTCCTTATCCCCATGGCTGTGCAGTGATGTTGTTAACATGGAACAATGATTTAATTATGAAAAAAATTCTGATAATTATTCACCAAGATGCTGACGATACCCAATGCACAGATGAAGTGTGGTAAGGAGAAAGTGGCTGTACTTCACCAGAGTGAATCTTCTTGGTGGCAAATTCCACATCAATGTGAAGTCAGAAGGAAAAAAAGTAGTGCAAGAAAGAAAAAAGTTACCATATTTTCAGTAATTTTTGAAACCACCATCCTAATTCCAGGCTTGTGTCTGTCTTGTATGATAGATCTCATAGTGTCTCAAGACATAGTAAAAGCATAATATTTCTCTTTTACTATTCTGCTTCAAGGAAAAAAGACAAATTATGCCTTGTGAAGAATCCATTTGCTATAAAGTGTAAAAATGCTTTAATATTAATATTTTATAATAAAATTCATGACATATTTATAAACACTCTATCAAGCATTTACAACTGAACCACAGCTGGGAGCTTGGACCGGAGTAAATAAGCAAGGACACAGCTAGTATGAAATATACAGCTCAATTTTTATAATTGTGTGTGCTTTATTTTTTACACAAATGGAATGGATGCACAGAGTATTTACACATAACAGGAGTGTAAGCTGGACAGGGTGTTTTGTAAACTCCAGTTCAGATTCTGAGTACCCCACGCTACAGCTAGACTGAGAAACATCCTGCTAAAGAGATGCACGCCGGCCAGTGTGTCAGATAGAGCAGCTTGGTGAGTACAGGCTGCTACACTCAGAAATTCAAACTGGTCAATTCAAATTTAGGAGCACAAATCCAGAAATTAAAAGGTTGCTATCCCACTAAGAGCCAACAGTGTTGCCTTTTTTCCTTTCTTTGTTTTTTTTTTTCCTTTTTTTAATGCTTTTTTTCCCCCAAAAAAATCTTGCCTGGGATGCTGGCTACCACTCATGCCCAGAAACACTGTTACATCAGGGAAAGTTGCCTGGGCCACAGGTCAGGGCCATAAGCTGCTAATGTGGTATGAGAGATGATGGATCATCTCTCATGCTCTTCACCTTAAAGACAGAGTCTCAAAAGGGCCAGTGAGGTGGTGGTTCCTATTGCTCTTGGTAAGATGTCAGTGGGGCTGCAGCATTCTGCAAATCCTTCTGCATGGGCTGTCTTTTTGTTCAGCAATATCACAGCACCTACCTCAAAAGGATCTTGGTCCATGACTTGGCCCTTTGGGTGCTACAGTAAAATAAGTAGTAAATAATGAAGAAAGTGATGAGCTGCTGTTTAATCAGGTGGCCTTGGTGTTTTACTGTAATGCTAAAAAAATCAGTGTAATGAGGAGGATGGGTGTTTAACTTCAGATGGTATAAATGGGATGGACTCCACTGAAATTAGAGGATGCAGGCTAGCTATATCCTGTATAGATTTTAGATATTATTTGCTGCTAGCTTTGATGTTGATTTGTGCCCTAAAATGGGAGCCTTTTTTTTTAATATAATGATGACTTAATTTTTATTTCTGAACTAATTGACAAGATGTCTGATTTTTAATGGAATAGGAAAAAAAGTTTATTCCACCAAGGCATTGGCTTGAGCACTTGAATGCAGTACATAGAGAACTGCATACATAACATGGCAGACAAAATGTTCAAGAGAGAAAATACTGAGATTAAAAGCTGTGAAGGATAAAAGACCACTTTCTGTGAAAATGGCAGATATTATGGCTTTAAAACTGCAGCTGAAAAAGAAGCTTGAGAATTTTTTCATGAACACTATTTTTCCTACAAATATCCTCATGTGTTGTCACTCACTGAACCCTCTGTTCAGGAATACAATTTGAAGAAAAAAATAAGAAAAGAAAAAAAATTAATAAAATTTGACTGAGCAAGTAACAGTGAAGGAGTAATACCAAAAATTTCTCTGTAGAAAATTAATGTAAATAGGTAGGGGAATGTTGTATACCTAGGACACTGTTGCTGGCTCCTAGTGGTTATTAGCTCAGGTTCCACACTACTCTCCAGGATGAGGATTTGACATTTCAGTGCAATGGAGAGATTTTTATCCTTGATTTTCACAGAGTGGTTCCTAGGATCCTATCCACACCAGAGCATCAAACCATGCTAGCTACAAACACAATTACATCACAGAATATTGATCTAGAAACACCCTTAACTACCAAAGAAATTACAAAGCGCTAGCATGGAAAGGGCACCTCTGTAGGAAGTGGGATTAAGCAAGAAAGAGGCTCTTTCACTGGTTGATGCTCAGCCCCTAAGACCAGTGAAGAGTGCTGTTTCACTGAGCCCTGTTAGCAAGCTCTCAACGAGTCAGTGCATGGAAGATTTTTTTTTGTGTGTGTGGCAAGGAAAAATAATTAGGTTGTAATATTGCACATCTGCAAAAAGCTAGCAAGATGTCATCATGATCATTCATGGGTGGACAAAAAGCTGTGGTAATTTTGATTCTGCTTGGACCCTATGGTGCTACACACTGTGCCAGAACATGAGATATAGCACCAGGGGTGTGATCTGGCACTTTTCCTAAAGGGTCCAGCATTTGCATTTGTCTCATGTTTAGATGCTCCTAAGTCTTTTACATGGACAGAAAGGGAATCTGATTATGCTAAGCTGTGTTAGCACCAATATGGACTCAGGTGCCAGTTGCTATGGGTTGTGAGTTTGGACTTTTTTTTTTTTTTTGCACCAGATGTAATTTTGCATGAGTCTTATGTTTCTCTTCCTCCTCCCACTACCACCCAGTATGATCTGAACAGCTGCAATGCAAAAATGGACTGCAGCTCTGCGGATGCTGAAACATGAAACGCAAAACATTAACGCACAGAACAAATGGGAGTACAAGTCCTAAGGGAAATAAGACCTCTCACTGCTTCTTGTGATGATTTGTTTTTAAATATACGTTTTATTTAAAAAAAAAAAAAAAGTGCAATGTCAACTCTAAATTGGAAGCACGAACAACAGACAGGGAAAAATAAATAATGTTACTACAGTAACCAAGGACTGATGGAAAAATTGATTGTACTCAGCCGTAGTGTTACTGTTCACCTTAAAGCACAGCACATGACAAAGCAAAACAGTTACTAGTAGGATAGTACCATAAAAGGCTGCATGCTGAACTAAGAAACAAAGAAGCAAATGTGATTGATTGCTTAAAACAGAGCTGAAAATTAGAATGAAGTTCCTGCTTTAGGATACTTGGTTTTTCAGGTCTGGTGGGCTATTTCCCAACCTGGGGCAATAGTATTTTGCCAGCATGGAAAAATTCATGGCTTCCAAAGATCTGGGGTCACTCTGTGGATTTTTGCAGAATTATCCAAAATCAAAGCATTCATTAATTTATATTTTGTTTAAAAAAAAATAAATAAATGTTTCTAGCCCTTCTGATTACAAAGCTCTTCTGGAGACTTAACTGAAACCCTTGTTTAGAAATCTGCGCTGACCAGGCAAGAAAAATAGTAGTTAAAGAAGTGTGAACTTCTCAAAGTTACCATAGTTGGGCAGTAAGCTTAGGAGGCCCCCTCAGGGCCACTAAAATGCCCATATTTTTAACCCTGTCACTGCTGGTGGCTTTTGCAAACATCCAGCTCATCACGCTGTCTGCGGAAGTTGGCTGGGTATACCTGTCAGCTCGACAGGGTGTAGAAATGTAAGCTTCAAATAGACAAGTAACAGAGGAGTCTATTTAGCATTTGCCCTTAAAACATCCTTAAGCGTTAGGGTTACAGCCACCAGCTATAGGCATTGCACTCCTGCAGTGCAGCAGGCAGGAGTGTGGGTTTTACAGAGAACATGGTCCAGCAGCAGCAAAGGCAATTCAGTTTACTGTCATAGCATTTTTGCAGTTGTCCCCTTGTGAGTCAGAGTGAAGAATGGCATCAGTATACAAAGGAAGGGCAGTGCGAAACAAGAAAGAAATATCTCCTTCTCCCTTTCCATGCACCCCAAACTGCAATTCCACAGACTTTCCCCAAATCCCTCACAAACGTCCATTGCCTCAGTTTTCGCTTTTAAGACCCTTGTTGACTGTGAAATGAATGAAGATATAGGTTAGTTGGTGACCTGCCTGCAAATAGAGGAAAGATCAAATACTTTTGTTATTTCCTTGAAAGAAACAGGAAGAATCATAAAACATTTGGGGGCGAAGGGTGCCTCCCTCCCAAGAGAGACATTATTAACCGAATTTAAGCATTGATATTTTGCTTCTGAATAGTTGTCTATTTCCATTTAAAGATGCATTATCCTTTTGTGTTCAGAAAAGTCCTACAGGGCAGTCAGTTAAAGAGATCTTTCCACAGGAGTTCATCATGATTAAATAGAGGCAAGGAAGAGGATTAAATTGAAGGAAAAACAAAATAAGTACTACAATTTAAGGAATTATCTTGCTCATAATTAATAATAGAGAATCTGTTACGGAAAAGGGATAATGCAACTTGATGGTCCTCTTTACATTTTACAGTCGTACAAGGGTGTAAATATTTAATCTTTCAATTAATTAATCTTTACAAAATATCTTCACAAAAACATTTTTACCTATAGAAATTAGTTTCTATACATCAATATATTTTTATTTTTATAAATTATTCCATCTTTAAGTGCCTTCTATCAATATAAATGATAAAATAGACAATCAAAAATTTTAAAGCTTTTCCCAGTTGTATCCCTCCTTGTCAACATAGGTGCTGTGAATCCTCATACGTGTGTGTCCGCATGGGAATGTATTTGTGTGCACGTGTGTGTGATGTGAAATGCTTCCATCCTCTCCCACACCCAAACACCATTAAAATAAACCATATTGTTATTAGTTCCTGATGTAATAGTGTTTTCAAAGGGGAAAAAAGAAATGCTTGACTTGGTTTCAGAAATCAAAAGATGTGCATAGTTACCAAAGTCGAGGTGTACCAACTACAAATATGCAATGACAAGCTTAGAATAGGACCCACCTCCCAGTCAAGTCACAGAGAGTCCTAACAGTGACCTCAGTAAGAAGTGGACCAAGTACTCTGAGCTTGATTTTGCAAGGTGCGTGTGGCCCTGATCTAGCAAAATGCTTAAGCCTGTGCTTAACTTTGAGCACATGAATAGTCCTACTGGAATTGATGGAACTGAACAGAGAGGGAAGGATTGCAAGTGCTTCCAAGTCAATAGGCTACTCATGTGTAGGAATTGGGGTTAAGTGCTGAGCGCCTTGCAGGATCAAGCCCTATATGAGGTTCAAGAGCTGGGAACTTCTCTTTAAAGCAATCAAAACACTGAGCTCAGCCATCAAAATCGATCAAAATGTCCGCATGGGCACAGGAGGTGGCTAGCTCCCCTTGACAGAGGGTCTCTGTGTCAAAAGTTTATACCTACAACTGGTGCTCTGAGCACACAACAGATTTGCTTTATATGGTAGAAGTCTTTTTGTTCCTACCCTTTGACCCATCAGTGTCCTTCATGGCTTCAAACACTTTGTGTTGTACATTCATCAAAATTCACATTGACTGCAAAGAACATAAATGCAACAAAAACAGGAAAGCCTCCAAATAGTATATTATAGTTTTCTTCTAAATATTCTCCCGTCGTAATCAGAGGTGCAGTGGCTAATTTATAATTTTTCCTTTGAAGGAATCCAGATGAAAGGCCCAGATTGTTCTTCAATTACAAGTTTGCATTGATTATATATATCTTCTAAGCTATCTCCTTGGACAATAGCTGCAGTAGAGAAAACATATCAATACTTCTTTTAATTGATAGATACAGCATCCAGTGTCAGCAGATTTTCAGCATACTCATAGATACCGACAGAATGAGAAGGAATACTGGCATACTGTGATGTTGATTATGGAAAAGTCATACCCCTGCAAACAGCAACTAAGTTCAAACCAATTTGTCTGACCTGATTATAATAAATTCACTCTTGGCTGCAAAAGTTAACTAGATCAGGCCCAAATTGACAGAAGGTGAAGCATCTTCAACACAAAACACAGTGGTTTTCTCCATAACTCTGTGTACCCCCAGCAGAAATCTGGAACTGCAGTTCAGATTATGTACACTGTCAGCACGTGGAGGGACAACTGAGGGCTTCTAATGGTTATCCACAAATACCAGTCCCTGAGAAGGAGCTTTTTAAACCTGCCCAAAGGAAATGCAGGTCTTAAAAGAGCAGGTCCTAAATCTTGCTTTTTTTCAGGTCAGGGAGAAGGTGCCCTTCTCTTTCCCTCCTATGGTCCATAGCTTGAGCTCTTCTCTTAAACTAGTGAGGATTTCTCTGGTCTGTACAAATGCAATTATGCAACATTTTTTCTGACTTCATTAAAAGCAGTTTTGTGTCAGGGATGGAATCAAATTCATAGAATCATAGAATTGTGAAAGTTGGAAAAGACATTTAAGATCATTGAACACAACTGTCAACCTAGCAACCCACCACGATGTTCACCATTAAACCATGTCCTCAAGTGCCATAGTCACATGTTTTTTGAACACCAGGGATGGTGACTCCATCACTTCCTGGACAGTCCTTTCCAATATTTTACAACCTTTCCTGTGAATTTTTTTTTTTCTAATAGGTAATCTAACCCTCCTCTGGTACAACTTGAGGCCATTTCCTCATCCTTGTCACTTGTTATCCGGGAGAAGAGGCTGATGCCCTGGCTACAACCTTCTTTCAGGTAGTTGTAGAGAGTGAGAAGGTCCCCCACGAGCCTCCTTTTTCTCTAGGCTAAACACCCCCAGCTCCCTCAGCCACTCTTCATCAGACTTGTGCTCCAGACCCTTCACCAGCTCCATTGCCTTCTTTGGACATGCTCCAGCACCTCAATGTCTTTCTTGCAGTGAGGGACCCCAAACTGAACACAGGATTCAAGGTGCGGCCTCACCAGTGCCCAGTATAGGGGAATGATGACTGCCCTGGTCCTGCTGGCCACATTATTGCTGGTACAGCCCTTGGCCATCTTGGCCACCTGGGCACACTGCTGACTCAGTCTCAAAGGACTCCTTGGTCCTTTTCTTCTGGGCAGCTTTCCAGAAACTCTGCCCCAAGCCTGTAGTGAGGCATGGGGCTGTTGTGACCCAAGTGCAGGACATGGCATTTCACCTTCTCAAACATCGTACAATTGGCCTTGGCATAGATATTCCTCCAGGACATCAAACTTTTGAGAAGTTGAGTGCCTCAACTGCTCTGGAATTTCAAGGAAACAATAATCTCAAAACAGAAGTCCTTACTCTGGGCACACTACACTGATAGATACTCCAGGCCAGAGACAGATCTGATCAAGTTGTTTTGCAATAAAAGACTATATCTTGGGAAAAAAATGGTATTAATAAAAACATACCTGTGAAATATTCTCCAAATTCTTGTTCTAATTTAATTGCTCGATCATAGGTTTTCTTCGCTTGCTCCTCTGTAAGACGTTTATTCATTTCCCTAGAAACACAAAGGAAGTAATAAAAAAATTTGGATTCTTGCTAGAACAGCTTTCCAAAAGACAAGTTCAACTGAATCACAGATGGATTGAGATTGATACAAGAATCAACCAGTAAAATTCTTCCATCAGTTCAGGGACAGTTTCGTATTTTCAATTTAATTTCATTCTTATGTAGCACAAAACTATTTTTTCAGATTACTTTCCATTTCATATTTCTCCAGTAAATTTTTGTCTCGGGTTCAATACTTTACATTGCCAAACGAAATATAAGGCCTGAATCTGGTAGCCACTAACTGAAATAGACTTCAGACATCAGGAACCTATAAGTAAGTTTGGTATCCAGCACATCCTATAGTTTGAGCACTCAGTACTCCTGCCTCCAGAGCTGAAGCTCCTTCAGAAACTTCTCTATCTCCCACAACCAGCTGGCTGCCACAGCTGAATAATGTTGTACAGACTGCTTATTGGGTACCAATAATGTAAAAACATAAACAGCCAGTTACATTCTGATTTTCTTAGTGTTTTGTTATATGTTGGAGCATTTCTGTTTCAACAGAAGCATTATTTAATAACTTTAAGAAGTTAGTTGTCTTGCCTGAGCACGCTAAGCTTTTAATACCACTGTATACTTTCAATGATCAAGCTTGTACTTATTCACAGCCTTACATTCATATGCCTGCAGATGTCCAAATTAATTGTCAATAATAAATAGAGTTTGCCCATTCTAGCATTTTGTCACAGCATGGATTAATTTTTCTTAAAATGTGATGAAAATTTTCTGAGGCAACTAGGAAAGCAAGAGAAGGGAGCACCTTGTGTTCTACATAAGTCTGACTTAATGCCTTGCACTGAATCATATGATTATGTGGTAATGGACTGCATACAATATGACATGGGTGATGTACGTAGGAAATTATGTGCATTACGGTGCATAAAAAAAAATGATCTATGAAGGGTACAACAGTACGAACTTGCTACAACTGACTCTCACCCGGCTTCCGAAAAACACCCTGGCAGATGTCTAGGATGCAAAAATGTGTTTCTAGAAATGGCTTATTGCTGCCTACCTATATAACTAAGCATATATAGCTGGGAACACTGCTTAGAACAATCTCTCTGGAAGTACTAAGGCAATGGAGAAAGCAGGTTTATAAAATGAAGGTAAGAAAGATTTCTTAAAAAATATATGACAGTAATTTTAGGTTATATAGATAGGTTTAGCATTTGCCAACATGTGTGTTGTCCTGCTAAATTTGTAATACTACTTATTCTATTGAGTGGAAAGACTGCTATCTAATTGAGGTCAGGCAGACTTATCAGCTACACCTACTCGAACATCTCTTTAGGTGACTGAACCAAAACTCTGTCTTGAAGTGGGACATTCCATTGCAAATTCTTAGCCAAACTTAACATTTTCATCTTAATGAAATTTTCAGACAATATTGTAGTGCTAACAACCTCCTCCTTCCAGATCTATTTCTGGTAAATTTTTGAGAAGTCTTCCTCAGGATCTTTGAATTAGCAGAAGAGTTAATACAAATAAAAATACAAACAAATGCTTATAATAGGAATTATTTTGAAATAGGTACAAATTTGCCTTACACATTCAGGTTATAGATTTGCCTGGGGTATAAAACTGCACTAGTTGTATTCATGCCTCTGCCTGTCCTGTGCCTTCAGGAGAGAGGATGGAGAAAAGGGAGGACCCTGATAACTATTTTTCATGATGAATTAAAAGTGCTGTCATACTGTAGTTCCTTTTATTTCTTTTTATTTCCTAGTCAAGGACCTGCACAGCTCGTGAATTCAAAATAATCCTCCAGGCATATTTTCCATGGTTTTCCTCTTCTCCCAGTGAAGAGCTCACCCAGGCAGGCTTTTTCTTGCTTCTATTTCTCATCCCCCTGATCTCAACACTGTCCTACTTCCTCTAGAGAGAGAGCCTGATTGAAGGGTACCAGCAAGGATGCCTTTGGGAGTAAACCAGGTGGAATTGTGTAGGGGTGGGGAGAGAGGAAGGGAGGAAGGAAGGGAGGAAGGGAGGTAGGAAGGGGTGATGGAGCAGTTTTTTTACAGCAATGGCCATGTGTTCTGATTGCTTTTACATCCAATAGCCCCTTATAGTCTTCCATCATTGTGATTGTAAGTGTTAGCAGGGTATTTCCAGAAAACCTGCAATAACCAAATTTCAAGTGAAGGAGCAAGCTTAATTTATGTTCCCTTCACTCTTCTTACTTCCTCTGTCAGATGGATGCAAAAGAGCATATGCATAAAATGAGAGTTAGACTACAAATTTATGTGATAATTTTGCTGAAAGAATAAACCTTTTCTTATTGTTTCTCTGCATCTTGTGATTAGAAATTTTTTGTCCTTTATGTTTTGACTTTGCTACTACAGTAACTTTCAACTTATTTGTATGAACAGGAAAAGACCTACAAGACCATCAAGTCCAACCTTTGATTTATCAACACCTTGTCAACTAGACCATAGCACTAAGTGCCACATCCAGTTGTTTCTTGAACAACACACTTGTTTTATTGCCTATTGCTTTGGTTCAACAACAGGATAACTGTCATAATATTTTGTGTCTTCATAACACCATTCAGTCAATCTGTTCAAGGATTTGCTGTTTTAACATTAAATCGATGAAGCCTTTACGTTATTGCCACTTTTCTGGTTCTGCCTGATGTATTTTTCAGAGTAAGGGCCACTTTTATTTACTTTTTTTTTTAATCTTTCCAGAGGCAGTGCCAGAATTAAAAAAATAATGGAAATGTTTTATGCAAAAACTGTACATTAAGATCTATGTTAAACAACCAATGTAGAAGGTAGGCTATCAGACAACCCTTCTTCCGTATAGTATAAAAATCAGAATACAATTGAATTGCAGGGCTCGAAGAAATGTCAGGAAGTCATCCAGTCTAAGATGGCTTTTGGTCAGAATGGGGCTACGTAAGTACCACATACTGTGCATCATTCCCTGTAATGTGACTGGACATTCAACAACCTCATTGCCAAAAGGCAGGGCCAGGGAGAATGCACATTCATGGGATGGGTTCTTTTGGAATTCTCCAGCTCTGTGACCAATGTCTGTGGGTACAGAGTTACAGGAGGGTGGGTGCCTTCATTTTACCTGTGAAACACATACATATGGCATTACTTGGCCTTTGCAGAGCCTTGGGTGAGGGGAAGGCACAGAGGTCAAAATTTCATTCCTATCACAGCAAAGTAAGCCGATAGCTCTTGCATTACCTTGAGTGTACATGGAAAAAAACTTGATAACAATATATTTTATCCTAAGCTTTAATTGGTATGAGGATCAATTCCATATTTCCTCCTCAGCCTTCTCTGTGTGACACTAGATAATGCTCATTCCTCCTCCACGAGCAGGGTGGAACCAAGAACCAGGCCAGCACTACAGCTGAGGCCTCATCCATCCCCAGTAAAACAAAATAGCTGTCTATTGTGTCATTACACAATACTGACATGAATACAGCCTACAGTGGCGGTTTCCTTTTTTGCAACCGTTAGCCATCCATTCAAATTCCTGTGTAATCCACCCCAACTGCCAGATGCTTTTCTGCAGTGCTATAGCTTAATTATTCCGTTTGTACTCCTGCATTTAATTTTCTCCCCTTTGTGCTGAATTTCATCTTACTGATCTTATATTGAGTTTCAATCTTATCCCCCAAAGTTCATGTCACCTCGGTGAGCCTTGACAGCATGAAGTTGGTGCCTTTTCTTTCATTCTTTTGAGTGTCACATTTGCCCCTCTCCAGTCCCATGGCTCCTTGCCTATCCTCTTACAGGCCTTCAGGCAAATGAAGGGCTTTCATGAAGAAGCACACACCTCAAACCTGGCGCAGGTTTAACCCTCTGGTTTGTGCCCTCGACCAGACTCTACAACCCAGGAGCACCTGAGGCTGGATGGGATAAGCCATGCTACACAAGTCCTTGGTGAACTTGTTGCACAGGTTGGAGCAAGTATACTGAGCACTGGTAGGGAGTGCTTCATGGTCCAGCATGTAAGCCCACATGTCCTAGTCTGAAAGGTTCAAAGGCAGCTCTGGCTTGTTCCTGGAGATACCAGGATACAGTGGATGACAGGCTGTGAGGACAAGTCTACACTGCTTTCCCTCATTATTACTAATTATAGAGAACAGGCAAAATGTAGACTCAAGACCTGTGTGGTACCACTTGAGATTGTACCCTGAAAAATAAAACGCTTGAAGAAGTTTATACTCACATCAGAGGCTCCCATGATTTAGGCTTAATGAAGATAGCGATGGGATAGAGTTGTGCAACTTGTAGTCGTTTGATAGCATTTCCTGACACATCAAGTATACAGTGCTTGCCCTGTTGGAAGCAGATGAGGATGTGTTTATTTTTGCAGAGTTTCCTGTAGATCAGTCAAAAGATAGGAAGCAATTCTGAGACACAGTGCCCTGGAACGGGGCCATTACTGGCGCACCAGGGAAGGGGGAAGCCCAGGGCATGCGCTTTACTACTTTATGTTCTTTCCTTTACTTTGGTGCTAATACAAAATATACACTGATGATATGGAAACAAACTTGGCTTTTATTTTTTCCTGGGAGGAAATTCATAGGGGCAGGAGGATTTTCTTGAGATGAGGAAAATCAATTCATAAAAGTTAATATGATGTCCATGTTCTTACTGGTTAAATAAGTTCTTGTTTATGTCGAAGACTCCCCATGTTACCAGAGACAAATAATGTAATCTTTCTGTGGTTTGTTCTTTTACCTCTATGAAAGTGAGTTAAGTTTATCTACCTGTCTTACAGAAGGAAGAGAAAAGGCTGTTTTGGGGTGTACTTGAGGCACTGTATTAGAACCTTGAATCCATGGAACTACATCCAAGTACAGGAAGTGTCAAGGATGACATAATTCAAAGCAGAGACTCCACTTGTGGAGTCATTATAAAGCCTATAAATATTAGGATGCCATTTTGCAGATATTTTCTGTTTTTGCCAGAGAATCATGTCTGAGACACAATATGGAAACAAATCAGATCATGTTGTATAGGCAATAAAACTAGTGTCAACCTACCCTTTCTGCCACAAATCTCACAGACTGGACACTAGTTCCATATAAATTATCATTGTACTGCCCAGCTTCTATAAATTTGTGCTCTTGGATATCTTTTTCCATTTGTTCTCTTGAAATGACAAAATGATAATCTCTCCCATCCACTTCATAGTCACGCTTTGGCCGTGTGGTATCTGCACGAAACAAAAGATGGAAGATAAAGAAGTCTGCAAAAACATTTAATGCAAAAAATGCAGCAATGAAGGCTTGCTCAGTGGGCAATGCTGGATCTGCTCTAAGGGGAGGCACTCCACATCTGAGAGTAGATTTTGGCTACTACATATTGTTTTCAATGGAGTCATGACAATAAGGCTGTCTTTTTGTAGTAATACCTTCTGATGTTTACCTCCAATCAATACAGGCTAAAATAAAATTAGGGTTTACCAGAATTCCACTTTTTTTCAGCAGGATCACAAAAAACCTTCAAATATAATATGCATTCCAGATTGTAAATCTAATGTTATCATGATGATAAAATGAATTCCAATCTCATCAATTTAGCCTTATTTATAGGCCTGATTCGGTTCTCACCTCTAGCAGTTTTAAGGTAGCCTGTTTGCAGCGACAACAGTTTAAAATGAAGTACAACTGCAATCAGGGCCTGAAATAGATAGCAAGTTCTAATGATCCAAGATATAAATACTCTGTTTAATTTAGGGTCTAACATTGCTTTCAGATTCAACAGTCTAGATCTCACACAATTCACAGATTATTCCATATTTTTATAGGTGGATGCTGTGCAATTGAGCCGAACCATTTTACATTTTACCAGTATTTCAAACATATCTTATTTAAGAAACCATAGATGGATTGATTACTAAACTGAGTTAGTGACTAGAAAGTTCCTCGTTTAAAAAAGTCCTAGAGCTTTTGAGACAATTCTTTTGAGAAATATTTTCCAGACCTTCACAACCTTTGTTAAAATTTTATTTATTTGTTCCTTTCTCCTTTTCTGTGTGATGAAAAAGTGACCTTTGAGAAACTCAACTACATATGGTTTATGCATACTGTTTTCACAGAAATTTACTTAATGTGTGGCACCAAGGGATACAGCTCACTCAGCTGCAGAACTAGGAGTAAAATCATACTTACGTGGTACACATGATCCAAACTTATCAGGGAATTCAGATATCAAATCATCGTTGATCCGATCTTTCATAGGACCCAGAATAATAACCGGCCTGGTGTAATTAACTGAACAACAAAAAGAAAGGCACATTTTGATGATCTTATTCGTAAATAATAAATAAATTTACCTAAATATGCACTAACCATAGTTTTTGTTTTCATATATGAAGTAAAAACTTAGGTGCACATTTTATTGATCAATATTTTATTTATTGACATGAATAAGGAAATGGAATTAGCACCACTGCAGAGCTCTGTGATGATCCATGCACATGGTCAAATGATTATGTAGAAGCATATATATTTGCTATCGCTTAAGGAGGCCACTCCCAAATACTTGCAGATGGACTCTTCCATGAGGCATGGAAAGGTTGTTGTAGCATTTCTTTCTCCTGTAGTTATACGAGTGCATCCCCCATTAAATCAGGTGAGTGCACTCCCAGTTTCAGTTGCCTTCCCATGGGTTCATCTACACTGGGTAGTGGCACATATCACATGAAAAGCAAAATAACAAAGACCTATCATGTAACAATATTTCAGTAAATCTAGAAAATCTGCATCAATATTTTGTAGATTGATTAACGTATGTATTAATAAAGCCCATGAGAGCATACTGGAGACAGTCCTGGGAATGTTAGGAAGTGGGAGCTTTCAAGGAAGATCCTTATATAATTTTTTTCATATGCGATAGGTTGAGTGTCCAAGAAAAAGAAGCCACAGAGAATCTGGGACTGGCACAGCAAGGCTTACTGCTCTGATGGCCCCCAAACTGTGAAATGAAATATATAAGGAACAGTGGTAGAAAAGCAGATGAAACTTACTTTCCTGTCTTGTGACTGGTTCATAAGAAAGGATGCAGTCTTCTTGGCCTCCTGATGAGAAAAGAAAGAGAAGAGATTGAAGCTGACAAGAAACACATGGAGTACTTAAGCTTGATAAAATGCTTCACATAGAGACAGACTGAGACAGACACGTCTCTCTGATAAGCCTTTCACCTGAACCATTCCAAAGCCCATCATAACTTCCAGGTGTAGAGAATGATTTTTCCCTTCCCCTCCCTCCCCTGCCAAGTCTTTCAATGCTGTTTACTGAAATTGGGCTTTTTCAATGATGGGCAAAAAGGCTTTATTTATTGATTTGATAGCAAGGCTGTTTACAATGATAGTGCAGAAATTTAAGATGCAATTCTTTCTCTTGTCTTATTGTTAAGGCCCTAACATGTTGCTGTAGAGCAAATCCAGAGGCTACCTAGATGGAACACTTTTTACCCATATGTATAAACGCAAATACATTTTGGTTGACTGTTCTTCTCTGCATAGCCTCTACAGTCTAGTTCATCCACAGCCTAACATCTAGCTACAAGCAATTTTCTGACCCTTCTCCCTTCCCTGAATACAATTCACAGACTCAAAGAATGGTTGGAGTTGAAATGGACCTCTGGAGATCATCTAGTCCAATCGCCCCTGCTAAAGAAGGTTCAGCTAGAACAGGTTGTACAGGAACATGTCTAGGCAGGTTTTGAATACCTTCAGAGAAGGTCTCACAGCATCATATTTTACACACTTATCCTCCCTCTGCCCCTGTTAGGACAGTGCTGTTTCCTCATGGTGATGTTTAGGGAACTAAAGCAGATAAATTTGCCATGAGGAACAAATGGCATTACATGGGCTACAATTTGGGTGCAGGTGTGCAGTTCCTGAAAGAGAGTGAAGGAGGAGAAGGAGGAGGATTCTTCACCTAATGCATGAATAATTCCTGCACATTTCTTTTTCTGGGTCACTGCCACATACTTGAGGGTTCTGGTAGGTTCTAAATATGATTTAGACTTAGCAAAGTTTAAAACGATGATTTTACTTTTACTCAGTTCAGGGTTTGTCTTGGAGAAGATCCACAGATAGGATTTTGCAACTAATTTAGATACTACAGAAGAAAAAGTATCATAACGGACACCAGTGCTTTGTAAAATAGACAGGGTTGCCCTCATTTCATCTGCTTGTATGCACATGAGCCTGTGTTACATTATTCCTGCCAAACCAAAGTGTGTACATACAGGGGAACAGCACTACCTGATGCCTGATGGAAATATATGTAGGGTCTAGAGGTGGGTACACCTCACATTGAAGTAGTCTGACTGCTGTCTGAGTCGCTATTGAGGCTCCACTAACTATATTAAAAAGCTTTGTGTTGGATGCAATGCCTAGCTCCCAAGAAGATATAAAACTTTTTGTGATTTAATCTTAAGCTGACTCCCACATCATGAGTCTAATATATTGATGGATGTAATTTTTTTGTGATGTATTATGTAGGCAGCTGTGACAAATGTGTAAGAAAGTAAAAGTAAAAATAATGTTGTAATTGAGGACAATAATTGGAAAACGAAAGAAAAAACTGTACTGATGCGTTAGGAGAGAGGGAAAACTGACAGTTGACATAGGACCAACTCCAGCCCAGCAATGGTGCTGAAGTAGCAAAGGAGAGAACATAATTTTTAATAAAAGGAAGAGATCAGACAGCTTTTGAGGAAAAGGTCACATAACATATGAGGAGTGTGAATAATGGATTTTCTTCTCTATTTGCATATGTTTGATATTGTAATCACTTAACTTTGGCTTTTTGTGAAGTTAAAATAATATGATTATTGTTACACCAGTTTTCATGCATCAGATGAATTATTTTCCCTTAAGTTTCTCTGGAAATTTTAGGGGTGATGTAAAAGTCAGGATGTCCCATTCCACTGGAGATTAAATGATTCACTCTCCAGGCTGGATGAGGGTGCTCCTGCGTTGCCTTCCCTCCATCCCACAGGAGCCAAGGCTATATTTTCTGACAGCCTGAGAAAGTCAATCTTGGGGTGGCTGATGAAGCCATTACGGACCAGTCATGTGGAGGGGAGCCTGTTTGTATGAATACAATCCTAAAGTTTAAAAAACTTGTTTCAATGGATACAGATCCACAGCAGGGGTTTTATTTCAGTAACCTGAGGCGTGAGTGCTTGTGTCTGAACTAGTCCTTAGGTACCCTTTGGAGCCAATGGCTACCTACAAATAGGAAAGGGCCTATTCTAAGACATGAGTCATCTGACCTGTTTTAGATGTCTACTTTACGATGAGAGAAAAAGTCAGAAGGGTGTGTTTGTCTCCATTGTCCCATAAAAACATGTCAGATGCAGATACCTACATTTAAACAGCAGAATCTCATTGGAGTGACACTCTTAATAGCAAATGAAGGAAAACAGACAATCGCTCTGCCACTAATGTTCAAAATTTTATTTTTTTTAAACTGTAAACTAACATTTGGCTTTGGCACAGCTTTATAAGCACTGATAAGCCAGCACAGATTTTACCTTCTCTTTTGCCCAGTCTCTGGTAGACATGTCTACATGCTAAAGTTGTTGGCACATCCACACTATCAGTAGGGAGAGAAACGAGCCTGTTGTTTTACAGAAGTCTCGTAAAGCTGTGACCATATTGAAAGCAAAGAAAAATTCTCCAGCCTACTCAAACTGTGCTGAAGTTTAAGCCATTGGAAAGGGTTGCATCAAGTAAGGAGAAATTTTGAGGCTGACTGTGATACACAGGGACTTAAAGACAGACATCTTCCTGAGGTAAGCGTCTTCAGTCCTGAGTTCCAGACTCAACATAGAGTGCAAGTATGGGGGAAAGCTGTACTGTTTCCATTATTTTTCTTTTCTGGGAAAAGGACTCAGGAGCTCAAATTTGTAAGTGAATAAAATCCTGCCAAGTACTGTCCAGAAAAAACCCTGTAGGTCCTCAGAGGCTATTATGCATGTTAGCTGTACCAGATGGTCTTCTTTAATAATCTCTACTCAGTCAGTACTGCATGGTTTTGAATCAGTCCATAAAGTATTAAGCATAGTGAAGAGCTCTAGAGTCAATCAATAATTGGATTGCTATAACCTTGAGGTGTGAGACACAGTATGAAATCCATCAGGACACAGGTTCTTATTTATCATTTGCCTAAGCCTCATTTACCACCCACATTAATGGCTTAATTAGCACAGGTTAGCTGTATTGGTCTAGGAAATCTTCGTGATATTTAACACATAAAACACAAAGAGGAAAAAGCAAAAGACCTTTCTATAGGATTTTGGCATGATCCCTTGCTTTCAGTAAAATGCCATCAAGTCAAAAAGGAGAAGAAAAGAAAAACATTAAGAAAAGAGAAGAAAGAAAAAGGAAACTTTCCTAAATGTAATATATTTATGAGTTAAATTATTAGAGGACTTTCACTTTCCAAGGACCACTCCCTGCTTCCCTTTGTTCTTGGTTTGCCTGTTGGTGATTTCTCATGCTTGGGAAGAGAAGAATAACTTGGAGTTTGTTATAACTCATAGCCTCTATGAAATGGGCAGAGAGATCCTGCACAGGCAGGTGAGTTTCATAAGGACTACTAATTTCAATTTTTTCAAAGGATTTTATAGGGTTTCAGATGGGTATACCTGAAAGGGCCTCTGTTTTTCCTTTCTGATTAGAGGCCAGAGAGTCTGTGAAAGACTCAAAACCATTTTCAATGTAGACCAGTTTCATGTAACCCATAAAAAGGCCCCATTTCCTATTGTCTTGCCACAGCATCCAGAGCTTCAACAGTGCTGGTGTAACTGCACACATCATTTGGGTAATGGGCCAGGAGAGCTGCTGTGAGCTGCCAAGGTGCAGCCACCATGTAAACAAACACCCTTCCTCATCAAGTACCTCATCTAGTGGGAATCCAGGGATTTTGGCATCCTAATAATGTCTGCAAATGAAAACTCTGTAAAGGGATCTAAGGAGGTGACTAACAGAAAAGTAGTACTAGTAAAGCCAATGAGACATTATTTATGATTTTAGAAAAATCAAAGAGAATTTTTGGGTTCATTAAAATTTATAGACTAATGGTGGTGGTGGTTACCATCAATACACATACAAAATACTCATAGATGAGCCAAATTAATTTAATTTTTGAGCTCTTGCCTGAATTTTGTTGCTCAGCTGGATCTAAAATCAATGAAGGCTTATTTTTCTGTCACTATCCATTTAGATTTTGGGCTAATGTCTGAATTACCTGAATTGTACTTGCAAGATCTTGGAGAAATCAATTTCTTGCTCTGTTTCATCTGCACTGGGCAGTCAATATCCCAGCCTCTATTTGGTTCAAAATCCCTTTCCTGTACCTCTGTTTATGTGAATAAACAAGATTTTTGGAAATATATTGATAGCTATCAAAGGCTGGAAATCCAATATGTAAAAAGATCATCCATCATAGTCTGAGAATGAACTTATGACTGAAAAGTCATTTATGAGCACTATATGTTTAAGATCAATATAGCTTTGTGGGTATAAAATGAGACTTCAATACTTGTGCCAATTTGAGTATACTTGAATAACATCATAATTCTGGGAAGCCAATATAAGTGTCCTTATTAATCCATTGCGTAGCATAATAATCAGGACTACTTCAACCTTGTTCTGAATCTTCAGATCTCATCAGAAGACTGACTTGCTGATTTGCTGACAGAGAGTAAAAAGTTTTGTTTCTAACGTTTTTTGTTATTTTTAACTTTTAGTTATGTATTGCTTCTCTAGGTAATTGGTGCAATCACAGCCAGTTATAAAATTAGGCTAAATAGATGCAGTAATGTGCATGTAATTTTGATGACACCTGTAAGAACCTTTACTGACCTAAGTGTAAGAGTGTTACAACACATATGCGGGAGAGAAACTTGAAATTCATGGCCATTATGAAAATCAAGTCTCGCAAAATAAAAACTGATGAGTCTAAGGTAAAAAATGTGTCCTTATAAGCTTGATTTGAAAAAGAAATCACAAAATTTTAAGTTGCAGGGCTCAAAATAAACTTTTAATCATGGTTTCATTAACTGGTTCAGGGATAAGTAAAAATTGGCTGTATGTGTCCTTATCACAAAAAGTACAACTTCCTGATAGACCAGAACTTCATAAAGCACTCTTCAAACTTGGTTTTACTTTTGAGAACAGGAACAAATAAACTAACACAGTTATAGACTTCATAATAGCATGGCCCTGTGATTCAGCAGCAGCCGTGTGAAAACTCAGTCTCTTTAAGATAAGCCAGCATTTGTTCCTGGCTTATTTATAAAGGGTCAGATTCTACTCTCAAATGTTTCTGCAATTCCCCCTGAAGTTAATGGAGCTGATGGTTATCTGTTGGGCTAAAGAAAATCCCACTGTTGGCTCCAAATCTTTTGTTCATAACAAACCCAGTGTTGAGGGCACTGGCAGAAGAAATCTGGTTTACTTTCTGCAACAGCCTTGTTGCTAAGAAGGGGACAAAGAATTTTCTCTTGAGACCACATAAGAAGACTTTCAATTATATTATTATTATGAAATAAAAAATATCTGAGTTCTGTCAAAAATGTTTTTTTTAACCCTAGAGACATAAGCAATCCTTTAGCCAAATACTCAAATTTTTAAGCAATATGTTTTTCTAAAAAACTATGAACGCATGAGAATATCTCCTAGAAAAAGCCCAGTTGATTTGTAACTCCCCTATTAATCACTGTCCAGGTCACAGCCTGGATATCTCTCAGAAGCCTTTAACATTCCTGGTTTGGAATGGTTCTAGGAATGATCAAATAGTATAAGTTTTGACACTAGCTACTTTTCACTAAATCCTCACCATGAGAAGCAAAAGTTAGAGAAATGTTAATACAATTGCCAGAGATCCACTAGAAAAAATGCAGAACACCTCTCTCTGGACTCCAAATGGCCTGTTTTTACAGGGACAAATTGAAGGTCTGCAGGAAAACATCCAACAGTTGCCAGTCATTTCTTACCAACACAATTTTTCTTTGAGCTGGCCAAGGTGTGAATTTCATAGATTTCTGATTTCATAGAACCATAGAATTATTTAGGTTGGAAAGGACAAGTCCAACTCTGCCAAGCCCCACTAAACCCTGACCCTGAGCACATCTTTTAAATCCCTCTAGAGATGGTGATTTAAGCACGTCCATGGGCATCCTACTCTAATGTTCAATAACCCTTTCAGTAGAGAAATTTTGTCTACTATCCAATCTAAACCTTTCCTGGTGCAACTAGAGGCCATTTCCTCTTCCTGTTGCTTGTTACTTTGGAGAAGAGACTGGCTTCACTTCACTACAACCCCTTTTCAGATGCTACTCATAACATTTGTGCCCCAAACCCTTCTCCAGCTTCACTGCTCTTCTGTGGACATGCTCCAGCATGTCAATGTCTTTCTTGGAGTGAGGGAGCCAGAGCAGAACACAGGATCTGAGGTGTGGCCTCACCAGTGCTGAGTGCGGGGACAATCACTTCCCCTTGTCCTGCTGGCCACACTATTGCTGATATATGCCAGGATGCTATTGGCCTTCTTGGCCACCTGGGCACACTGCGGGCTCATGTTCAGCCACTGTTGACCAGCACCCTCTCAAGTCCTTTTCTGCCAGGCACCTTTCCAGCCACTCTGCCCCAACTTCCCACAGATCAGAAAGCAGTGGTGCAGGCAACCCCTTTCCTCTTGCTCATTTGCTGGGGAAACAGAATAGAAAAGGGGCATGGGGACAGGCTCACAAAATCATGCAAACCCCTTGATTCCTCCAGCAGTTTTCTATTTGCTGCCCATGAATTTTCCAGCTTCACTTTTTTTCTCCTCTCATTTCACCAGTGCACAGACTGAAGGCTAGATGAGTTTGCAAGTGAACACACATGGTGACCTCATAAAACAACATGTAGTGCCTCACCTTGAACACACAGATTCTCCTCCAGGTGAGGCTACATCACAGTAAAGAACAACTTCGCAATGTGGCACACACCCATGAGTCCTTAGCAAATAAAATCAGGCCCTTTGGGCACCAGGTCCTGCATTTTTATTGTTATGCCACTTTCACTTGGCATAATCTCAGATTGGCTTCCTCTGCTTCTAAATGGCATAGCTGTCCCATGGGCAGAGAAGAAACCTCTGCCTGCTTCTTCTCCACCAGGTAGTGGTTGTTGGACATACCAGTAGTGTGTGGGGAGATCGAGCCAGCAGAATGTAGACTGGATGCTGCTGGTGTGAGACAGGATCTTGTCCAGGTACAAACCACTCTAGGAGGAGAGTGACTGCCATGGGTAGTTGTTACTCCAACACTACTTTTCCTTCCAAGTATCTATGTCCCAGCTAACTTTCCCAAACCATTTCTATTACCTTTCTTGCACCTGAAAATGTACACTTTGTTTTAAGTTATCACACAGCCAGTGAAGAACTGGCTACCTGTCCTGTCTTATGATGAAATTCGGTAACTAACTTTTGCAGACATGCCCAAAATATTTGGCTGCAACGAGGCTCTCCGATTAAGTCTGCTGTTTGGGACAGTTCATCAGCCTAGATTATCCTCTGGGCTTTTACCCTGAGCTCACTCTGAAATTTACAGACCTGGATGAGATTTGAGTCATGCAAACTTTTGAAAATTTAACCTTTTGACTCATTCCTGATTGTAAAGTCAGTCTGGAAAGAGCATCTTATATTTCAAACATAAAATCCCCCTCTCCTCCTAAGTAGAGGATACATTAAAAATAAAATGATTTAGAATTGGATCTTGGCAATTCAAGAGTGTCTACTGTTTTCTTGTGACTCTGGCAATTGCTTTCCAAGGAAACCTTTGCAATACAAGAGAATACAAACTAATTTCCGAACAGCATAAGGTTAGCTGTTTTACTGAAACAAACCAGTGTTTATCAATAGAGCTCAACTGCTATGCCTTATATCAAGACTAGTAAATATTATGTATGATACCGTTGATTACCTGAATGTATGTGGGTGCTTGGCACAAGTGCTGAGTGACTGGTGGAAAACTCGATTTGCTAAGCAAATGGCTTGAAAAAATGAAACAACTGGGTGATTTAGCAAGCAATCTGTCATTTTAGTTACCTTTTATTACATTTCTTGTAATTTATTTAATGACTTGTTTTTTTTCAGCTTTTCAGAACTTCCAGAAAAATAGCTATACTGGTTAAATTTGTGGGCATTACAAAGAATTACCCAGAACATACAATCTGCTTCTTGGTTATATGATCCCGTGGAGTCTGTAAATCCAATCAAACCAGGTTGCAGGGTTGGGATCTCCATCTACAGGGTATCAGTGACATTCAGTGGCAGTGCCTAAGCAGTGAAAGTCTATCTTACTGTTTTTTAAGACTCCAATATGCATTATGAAATCTGTACTGTCAAAACTACAGGCTCAACAAAAATTCCGGGACTACTTCTTAGCCCTTCATCCAGGCATGAAGAAATGCAAGTGAAAATTGTGACCTTGTAAAGTGGATGCCTTTTGCAGATTTGACTACAGCTATGGAATAATTTTACTCTTAAAAGATCATCAAGAAAATTCCCCCTCCCCACTGAAGTAGATCCGTGTCACTAAACCAAATAATCCTGACTTTCATAAGCTACCCAAAGCCAGGTTTAGTTTTACATCCCAGAATACATCACAAATAACAACCTTTCTCCCTTCTCTTATAACGGTTGCTAGTTTTCTTTTACAGCTTTGTACTCAAGATGTGGTTATAAATTTGAATTCCAAGCCATTTGCTCCATCTTTTTAACATTAACAAAAGAGTAGCAAGGAGAGAAACAAAATAAAAGAAACAAACAGAACAAGCAATGCAAAGTAAAAGGACTCTAATGAAAGCAGTAACTTACTGTAGCTACTTTCACTATCGCTGGCATTAGAAGAAACATGTTCTGCAAGAACAGTACAGCAAATTAAAGAACATAACCAAGCACCACAGCACAGCAGAAACTTAAAAGAACTGCCACAGTCATGCAAAGGTAGTTATGCAGAGAGGAAATAAAAACTGTGCAGTGACATTACTTGAAAATGCTCAGATAATTTACAGAGGTAAAATGAAAGCTTTCTCTCTTGTGGCATTTCAGAAACAGACTATATGTATTAGCTAGTGATATGTGTCATGGCAAAGCTATGTCTTTTCCTGATGAGACAGTAAATGGTATCTCAGATAATTTCATTTCAATGTATATTATAGTCAACTTGCATCTCACTGGATGTCTTGAGTAATTTAATAAAATCTGAGTGTCTGCTCATATTATTCTGCACCATCAGTAATGTGTATCATTAATCATTATTAATGCACTGGAACTATTCCTGCTAAACTTCTGTATCCATCTTTAATCACTGTGCATTATCCCGAAGGGTTAACAAATTAACATGAAAGTTTTTTTTATATCAAATATTGTAACTGTATCTATTTTACCCCATCCAATTAAAAAAAAAAAAAAGAAAAAAGAAGACAAAGTCAATGACAAAAGTAAGAAAAAAAACATGGAAGAAGTCTTTTTCCAGTCATTGTCTAGCCTCAGAGTTTGAATTGGAGTATTAAAACCTTCACCAGACCAGTCTGGATGGGTGAACAGGACTATAAGGACTATCATAATGGGTCAGTCTTGTGGTTTGTCAAGTCAGGTGTCCTATTTCTATTATCATACTCTTGAAAGGAAGCGCAATCTATATTATGTAATGTTGCTATTCCAAAATCGTGTCAGCAGACTATTTATGGTCAGTAAGACCATGCTATATGATCTCCAGGAGTTCTGCAGGGCCATATTCAACAGTGGTTTTAATAGTATGTCTGGTAGAAATGCTGATTACTTTGCATCTGAAAGATCACTTGACAGTTGAAACTTTTCAGCTGGTCCCCAGGACATTTAGAAGCCAATGGCATAATGGTTATAAAGATGGGAGCACCCTGAGTTAATGAGAAATACAGGAACAGTGCCAAGACCCCCTATTCTCTGGAAGGTGCTGCATTCCCCCCATGTACCAATTTAATAGATTAGGGTTCATAGATTGGGAATGATGGGGCTCCTGGAGCAGCAGGAATGAGAGGGGATGATATCTTACAAAAACACTAATGGAAAACCTTGATCTTGGGCCTAGGAAGAAGCTTCAATAAGTTAAACTTACATTTTGAAGAAAACAGCATATTGACTTTTGGGCATTTGTAGTGGTTTGAGTGGAATCAGAATTGGATTTTTGGGCTCAAACCATGACAGCATTTCATAGCAAATTAACAAGTTTTATCTCAAGCTAATATGTATACAGGACCCTGAAGAACTTTATTAAAAAAGAACAAATACCCTTCATAGCAAGAACTGTCATTAAAAAACATATCTGAGTTGAATATTAATAAAATTTGAATGGGTGGGAATGTCTATAGGTGTGTCACTAATTGAAAACTAGGTGCAATATTGATAGAGGAAATAGAGCCTTAAATAATACCTCTGTGCTACTTTGGCCCATATCAATTTGCAGAATTTAGTTACTTTTTAAATAGTTGAATGTCATGAAGATTTGTCTTTGTAGGGACACAAATATTCAGGAGGGCTATCAGATCAGAAGTATTTTAATTTTCTCTAGCAGGAAAGGATCTGCATTTGTTGCTAATGAGCTGCTATGACACTTAAATGACCACAGAATGGTTAAAATTCAGGTGGCAGAGACACTTGCTGTCTATCACTGACAAAACTAGTCTTGCAGAACTGTTTTTCCTTGTACAAGAGATGAAGCTTTCATCTTTGAATTGTGAGCTACTGTGTGGCTTAAAGTTAAAGCATTAAGATGTCCTTTCAACAAATCAGTAAGAAACAGAATAATCTCCAAAACTATGTATATGGATGTGCATTCCTGCAATTAAAAAGCACATACAAAACAGTAGGTGATGCAGCATTAACATTCACACACATTTTGCTCCAATTACTTGGTGCTTAAGAAAAGGAATAAGAACTGAGGAAGAAGAAGCCAAACACATGCAAGTGGCATTTTTTAAAAAATATTGAGCTCTGGATACAGAATATAACATAGCTATGTATGCGGAAATCAGCTGCAAATATTTCATTCTATACAGTTTTTCTGGTCTAAATTTCGAGGAAGAAAAATTGTTTCTGAGCAATGATCCAACATGTTACACATTCTGCAATGCCAAGTCTTGAGACAGGATTGCTGCATCAGAAAAAGAAATTGATTAAGGTTGTGTGACAGAGAATAGGTTGCTAATGGTGAAATGGGTCCAAAATTAGCTTTGAAGAACTCATGGTCTTCTCTAGCCTGCAAATGACTTTGTCCATTAATAACAAATAGTAATCTAAAATCCAGCAAAGTAACAAACACTCCCATGCAAAAAGCTGAAAATGCAGAAGCAACAGCATAATCTAATTTTCTATTGACTTCATCAGGCTGTGATCATGTTAAATGTTTAACTTTCCCTTTAGATGGAGAGGGAGGAATTGTTGCTGAAAAGAACAGTCTAGGCAGCAAAACACGTTCTAGGTATGCTACTCTACAGAACTGCCATGATGGGAACAATAACATACTGTCAGAAACAAAAGGTGTTATTACAAAAGAAGTGAAAGTGTCTGCTTGAAACACTGTATGTTATTTAATACTGTCATGCAGAACAAAACGATTGAAACATTTTTAATGCATTCACAGCTGGGTAACAAATAAAACTCTATCTTGTGCATGCTAGGAGTGGAGGGTCCTCAGAGAAGAAACAGAAGCCAAAACAAAACAAAACAAAAAAGGGTTTACAGTGACCATTCCTGGGAACTTACTCAGAGTCTTTGTTCCATAACCGTCGTCACCTAATCCGGGGATGTCCTGCACGGAAGTCCCCAGAGAGAGCAATGAGAAAGGAAGAACAGCCGCAGAAGAGGAAGGAAGAAGTCAGTGGAGTTGAAATGGATACTACCATGACTGACCATGTTGATTGAGCAATCTGGATCCCTGCCTTTTCTTTCTGAAACAAATTTAGACCCATGTTCTATGGGAATTCACCTAATGAAAGAGGCGGTGACCATGATACGTGCCTTTTGGAGCTGTGAGGAAGAAGGAACAACCAGAAAAATTAAGTTCCAGAATCTATCCTCACTGGGTAAATTTAGGAGAGAATTATTAAGGAAAGAAAGTGAATATCTGGGCTTGAAACTAGCATATATTTTTAATAAGGCTAGTTCTCTATATAATTTAAGTAAGTAGTAAATTCTCATGGAGGTACACATTCCAAGATCTGATTTACTTCTTTAAGCTGTTAGCATAGTTGCTTCATTTAATTTTTAAACTTTCAGTGAAGTTGCCCATGGCAATTCACTTGGAGAATGTCAAAGGCAAAAAAGATATTAGAACAGACCTTTTAAAAAGTAATAGTTTAGTTTAGTATTGTGAAAGAAATCACATTTGCCTTATTTTGAGCCAATTCTGATCTAGGAATATTTCTGAGAAACAAGTTTAGATTTATGAAAGGTGCCACAACAACTTTGAGGAGCCACATTTGCACTTCCAAAAGTTAAGGTCACTGCTTTATTCTTCTGAAAGTGTTTTTTCCAGGGATGGAAGGAGTAGCTGGATCCAAACTGCAGTCATACATTGGTCACAGTAGTAATACCTCTCCTGCCTACCTACGACAGATATTTGCCTAGATGTGTGGGATACTGGTATCATGCGTGTCACCCATTTTATGTGCTGCTGCATGTGACATCGTCTCCAAGAGGTTACTTACGTTCTGGATCACTTGTTTCCTGCTCACTCTGCTCCTTGCTCTTGTAGAATGGGAATTTTCGTGAAAAGATGAAGTTCTTTTTACGCTTGTCATTGAATGACTGTGAAGGAGAAAAGGCATGGGGCAAAAACAGGGACGTCTAATTGTTGTCACACTCATGCTGACAAAACAACTAGTTTGTAAAAGTGGAGAGAACTGTAGTGACTCAAATCAGTACAAACCAAGTGGCTTACAAATCAGAGGTGGTTGTGGTGAGGTCTGCAGGTTGAAGGCAAAGCCCCTGGAGACCGGATTGATTTGATTCCAGAGGTCTCAAGTCACAACCTTCAGCTCCTAACTTGGAAACTATCGTGTTTGGCTTGTTCAGATGAAGAGCTACATATGGCTCAGCATGCTTTGAGATCAAGCCACCCATCTTTAGTCATAGCAGACTGTGCACAGAATTAATTAACTGGCTGAAAAGAATACGCTGTAAAGCAGAAAACAGAAGCCTTTGATTTGCTTGTAGTATGTGGTTTCAGCCCTGTGCCAATTAAAATTAAAAAAATTCTTTACTGGTAGCTGCTGCTGATTTCATAATTTATTTATTTGGCCTCTTCATCAACAACTTCTTAATTGTGTTTAAATGCTTTTTTTTGGGCATAGTTAAAAAAATACTTTGTTTTGTTTTATACACATATTTACTTATTAGGTTCTTCTGTGTATACTTTAGTTTTATGTGATTTAGAGATAGAATTCTGCTAATAAACATTATTTAATGGCATGTTAAGCAACATATATCACTTTAATTCTTCAAATGAGGACTTAATATGGAAGAAATTTTGGTTTTTTACGTGATAAACCCTTTGACTTTACAGACAATTGCAAGGTCTCATAGCACTGTACTATGTAAACGCAGGATATGCCTACTTGGAACATTTATTTCAAATACTAAATAAGGACATAGGGTCTCTCTACAGTCAACTGAAAGAAGCTGGCATTTCTAGAGGGCACCTATGCAGAGCTGCAGATAGTGTTTGTCTGAAGTGATCTGTGTTGTCAGTCAAACAATGTCCTATACTCTCTCTGAACATATACAATGCCCAGACACTGGGCTTTGCAAATGATCACCTCCAACAGAGCAGAGACCTCCTTAAATCATTTAAATGATTTGTGTGTTTGTCGTTGTTTGACGTTGTGTTTGTCGTTGCTTGAACTGAATATAACCAGTATTTGTTTCCAATTCTGAAATGGAATACATTAGAGTCTCAGAATATAATTTATTTCTTTACATTTTGGAAGCATGGTATAGAATGTGGTTTAGAATATGTATTTCTGGAAGATGTGTACCGAAAATCTTCATTAAAATAGTTTTATACTCGTGTCACAAAAGTTTCGTGCCACTTTTACATTTCAAGCATATTTAAATTTTAGTAACTGAAAACAAAGGAAAAAATGCACATGTAGAATAAATGATCCATGAAAATCTCTCAGAGTATGTAAACATTCAATGTGAAATTAATGCGGAGGTCATGCACAAATAATCCAGACAGCATGCAATTTCAAAACAAAGCAAATATGAAAGAAAGCCAGAGGAAAAAGAAAAAAGCACATGAAGGATTAAAGTAATCTGTGGATGAAAGGAGGACTGACATGCACATTACATCACTTTAATGACCTAAAGGATATAATTAAATAAAAGTGTGTTTTTTGTGATGATTTCTTTTATTTTTCTAAAGAAAGGAATTGTAGCATGTTAAAATTGCTGTTTGTGAAAATGTTGTTTGTCACGATTCATCTGGATTTGACATAGTAATACTATTGGTATTACACTTTTAAAGGGAAAAAACTATATATACACAATAACACTTCAAAAAGCAAAGGGGTTTTAAAATGACAATCACTTCATTACAGAATGCCATTTCACTTTGGAATTCAAAAGAATGTTATCAAATTGATAAATAAATATGCTCTGTTTCACAGAGGTTATATGAGAAATAACATTTATATATATTCTTTTTCAATTTTTCCCCCAACAGTCTAGAGTAAAAACTTCAGAAAGTACATTTTCACCAGAAAAGCATATATTTTTTTCACACTTATGCATGATTTAACAATATATACCAAATTAGACAGATATACTATAGTGTTATATAAACTCTTTCTTCTTTTGCAGTTTCAAATACTGGGTTGCTTTTTTAATAAGATATTGTTCCATTTCAATTTGGATAGTCAAAAGCTAGCAATTCATAGCAGATGCCTACTATGTGCAACTATGTCACTGCATTTACACCTGTAAAAAGCCTTGTTCCTAAAATAAAGCTGACTCTAGTTATATTGACATCCATAAAAATATATTTATGCATGTGAAAATACTTCTCTACATTAAAAATTGTGTATATTCATGTTAATGACCATATATACTATCATAGTGTAGTACAGCATTCATCTTTATAATAAGAAAGAAACTGGAAAATACTATAAAACACTAAAATGGGTCTGATTCTGAAAGCTTATAGAAATAACTAGTCCATGGTAATAACTGAATGGGAGTACCAAATGCTTATTTTCTTGTACATTAAGTGCATGTTTCTTCACAAGACACCAAAGACAGGAGCCTTGATTTTGGTTTTGTATCCAATATAAATGAGATTAAACTCAGGTTGACGGTCTCCACCTTAAGGATATGAAATCCTGCAGACACCTAGCAAAATGCTTCTTACAGATATCACAATTCATATCTCTAATTTATAGAGACAAGGGGCTTGGCAAAAAGAGAGAAGAGGGAGCCATACAGGATAAAACCGTGTTTCTATTGCACACACGGTGTTAATTCCAGATTTTGCTCCACTGTTGGAGGAGTAGAGATCAACATTGAGTGCACATTTTCTTTTTTAAGAAAGAATCATGCATATGAGGAATTGTGGCAAGGTTAAATTGCAAAATTCAGATGCGTATATGAGAAATTTTATTCCTATAGGATGGAAAATTCGAGGCCTGTCTAATACTCTGAAGTCATAGGCTCCCTATTTTGCTGGAAAGTTGTGAAGTAGATGTAGGATAAATGAGACAGAGATATTTGCCTACATCTCTCTGTTTGATGCAGAAGTTGCATGCGACTGGAATTGAAATTGTGATAGCAAGCTTGGCTTGATTTGACAGCATTTATGCAGGCAGAGTTTCTGAGTCAGTGAAAAAGGGCCTTAAAATGGATTCCCGTATAAGTCACTAGTTTGTTGCCAAGAACGATGTACAAACCTGTGATGGCAAATGACTTGGGCATTTCACCGGCAGTGAAAGACCTGTACAATAGATTACTTTCATATGTCCTTGCCATCAGTTCACAGATTACCACTAACCTAGGAACTGGCATTAGTAGGCACTTTAAACAGACAAGTGCTGAAGACTAAAAGGCAAATGAAATTGTCAAGGACTGTTTGGCAACAAAACAGTGACATAATTCATAACATTTGAACTGTGATGAAAAAGTTTCTTCTCAGAAAAAAAGTGGAGAAAAACTTTCACTGGTGTACTGGCTTGAATTCTTGTTTGATACTACTTAGGCATAGACTGTTTTGAAGAAGCCAAGGAAAATAATTGTGATGTGCATGCTTGCTTGACCAAGTTTCCCCCGGATGTCCCCAGTTATGTAAGCCTGTGTTGCACATACCAACCTTCCCTGGTTGTGACAGACATTAAACCACTGTGTGTTTCTTCTTCTCAAGAACTCAATTCAGTACTGTTTTGTATCAACACTGGTTTTGTATTCTAAGTGCTTTTCCCTAGGCACATGTTACTAATCAGCTCACAGGATAGTGGTCTTTAAAGAAAATTTTCATGTAATGTTAAATAAACAATCCAATTTCAAAAATTGCTTTGTAGTGGTAAATGTCACAGCAAACAGTGACTCGTTGCATCATACTGAAATAGGCATCTATATTGTTGCTTACTTTGAGCTTCTTTGCAAATTTTTTTAAATGTGCTCTTGACAGAGGTTGTCCTCTTTATGCTTTGCAGAAGAGCCCAATATCTTGGGGAAAGATTTCTTGTGGTTCTCTAACAGCAACTCTTCTAAAAGCCAATAACCCCCCAACTACTTTGGGAATGCTTTCTTTTGCTATTTCATTCAACTAATGCTAATCCTCAGTCATGAGCTGGGAAGCAGTGTTCAGGGATCACCTGAGAGAAAGTTGTTCCAGACTACTGGCTGTGAAATTTTTTTTTTACAGGGTGTAGATGAATTTCACATATCATCTATTTTTAGGCCAGTTTGAGTTATGCTTTAACCTAGTTTCTATGTCGTATGATTATGTATGTCAGTTTTGTTCTGAGATTGGTCTAGCAGTGTATATGAGAAATTAATTTTACTGTTTCTCATCTGCCATGTGTTTTTTTTATTCTTCTCCTTTAATACTTGGTTTTGACCTAAGTTAAATGAAAACCCTTACTTACACAGCATTCTATAAAATTATCAAAGTGTGTCTCTGCAATCCTTTTCTCTATATTTAATTGACCCCTTTTGCATTAGGGACATTCTTTTACTCATTTGAATACTGACTTTAATAAAGCTTTGGGCACTGAAACACTGTTAAACCTCTACATTTTAGATCTCTCCCATCATACCAAAAAGGTTCACTGACACCAAAAAGGAAGCTTTTGGACTGTAACAGATTCTCAGTGTTATTTTTCCTTCCAAACATATCTGTTTTTACAGTGGGCTTTTTCACCTGTCAAGCACATGATGAATTTGAAGTTGCCAGAACATGGGGGACATGGATCAAAAACACACTTTGGCACAATCTGCCTCATTGTCCCATCTGCAATACCAGGACCATGGCAGTGTCCTCCTAAAGTCACTTTGCGGGGACCAAGACTACACTATGACCTGGTGGATACTATTGATCAGGCCATGATAGTTTCTTTTATTCAGAATGAAGTATACTGAGGTTAAATGACTTGACAAGTCTAGAGGAAAGCCAACACGACTGAGCAATTCTTGCTTTCCTGGTCTTGGAAAGCAAGGTCTTGCTTTCCTGGTCTTGGCCAAGGACTGGGTTCACACACAGAAAGCACTTCATGATGTCCATGCAGACATGCAGAAGCTAAGCTAAGGAGTTGATA